TGACCTGCATCCCCAGAGACAGGCCAGCTCACACCCCCTGCCAGCAAATCCCAGATTTGCCAAACCGTGCCTGCAACAAACGTTTCAGGTTTGGGCAAATTCACCCCACATTTGATACTTTACTCCAGTTATGCATCATGCTCACCTCCATGTTCATCATGTTAATCTCGTCTAAAATTACCCTCTAGTCCTCTGAATGAAAACACCTCGTTCCTCCACTCCAAACACTGTGATAAACATAGATCCTTGTAATATGAGAAAGAGGGCGAGGACCTTGCTGTATTTCATTATTTTTGTACTGCAGCGATGAATTTCAAAATAGCTTAGCAGTAGTAGTCACGCTTAACTGATTTGGTATACATTCCCTTTGCTGCTCGGCAGAAATTTAGCACTTCTGAGCATGAGTGTGAAGGTTTGGGGTTGGTTTTTTTTTTTCCCCTCCTCCCTTCAGCAGATTACTCTACACGATGACATTTTCTTGCTTTTTGTTTGTTTTGACCGAAGGCACGGCCCTCTTTCCTTCCTGCACAACTGTTCCCTCAGTGCAAAGGCGATGCAGGGCTAGAAGACAAGAGCATCTTCATCTTCTAGCCTCACCTGGAAACAACCAGTCATTTTCCCCATTGTTAATGCCTGAAACAACAAACCCAAGGGGTCTCCAAGCTACTTGCTATGAACTAGCCATGAAAGAACAAAAACAAAAACCAAAGCAAACCCCAAACCAGCCTTTCAACTGGCATGAAAGTCCCCGAGATCTCAAATTAAAATTTTTTACTGCTCTTTACACAGTTTTAATACAGTCTTTTTGACTTGCCGCGCTTTATACCTAGGCGAGGCAGGTCCTCCAACAGGATTGTGCAACCAGGCAGTACCCCGGCTCCTGAGACCACCCCAGACCACGAGGGACCGGCGTGCAGGACCACACTCACATACACGAGGGCAGCTACGCACAAAGGACGGCAGCAAGCAGATGCCCATCAGCGTAGCTCGTCAGAGCATCTGCCTGCCGTTGGACCAAACAGCCTGCAGATCCATCGGGGTACGGCTTGGGTCGCAGCCGGAGACTTCAGCAACACGCGTGGGACATCCACTGAGCACCTTGCAAACACACCCCAGGGATTTCGTGAGGCTGAAGTGCTGCTGAGCCCCGTGCAGCCGTGTGTTCCTGCTTGCAGAAGCAAGAGATTAAATTTCTCCAGCTGATTATCAACTGAAGTTGACTCACCTGGGCAAAGATTAGTTTGCAAAGCATTTTATCAGTTCCCAGGGTACACGACCAGAGCCGGGAGGGAGACCGTGGAGTTCACACACAGAAAGGAGGCAGTTTCTGGCCTCGGCTGAGGCCGTTTTACAGCTGCAAAGCCCCACTGACCTCAGTAATGCTAGCACAAGCAAAAGGAAATTCCTCCCCGAGGTGCTGAGTATGACTTTTCCCAACGTATACTTTTTTCCTGCATCGTGTTGATTTTTTCTGTTCCCACATTTATTTTCTCAGGAAAACTTCCACAAGCTTGTCTGTGGATGCATATTACTCTCATTTCTTCCCAGCTTCTCACGTTATCACAAGCAGGATCAAGTACAGAAAACAATTGCATCGTACTCCCCCTGTGTGATTGATGGCACATACACGTGCAATAAAACGGAACAAAACCAAGTACTTACATCAGGCTCCTTCTAAACTTCAAAGCATCAGAGACCTTTCACACCACCCAGGACAACTGAGTACCCCTTTGCTAAGCTGGATGGAAACAAAGTACCATGCAGTTTAAGAGCAAAAATAAAACAAACTGCTAGGGCCACGCTCTGCGTACACAGTAGCCAGCTTGGGCTAACGCAGGCTTATTTTACAAGTCACTTTCTCTGCCTAGCTTTTTCAATAGGTGGAATGTTTCATTTTGGTTTTCCCCAAAATGCTGAAGATGCAGAAGTGACAGACAGTTAACACTTTACCAGATGAGGTCCTTAAAAAAAAAAAAAACAAAAACACAACCCTAATATGTATATATTATGTAAATAAATAAAAATAAACCAAAGTCACTTTTCTTCCAAAACTGGATTATTAGAATAATCCTGAGACTAGTGATAATCAGAGATGTTTCTTTCGTCTGTAGGTCTGCCTGCCTCTGCCCCCCACCCTGATGCCCAACCCCACCAGACTCCATCCCAAGGTCCCCTCCATCCAACCAACGGCTCACGAAAGAACGAGAGCGGTGGCCAAGGGGGTAGCACGGGATACCTGAACTACCAGAGCAGTCGAGGAATAACGAAAGATGTTAGGCTGAAGCCACCAGCGTAATATCTGAATACCTCCACTGCACTATCATCTCCATTTTGGCTAGCATTTGGCTGTGAGATGACAGATGTTTCCTATGCGGGAGCATCAGGCTCCCAAGCAGCGCACAGCAAGGTATCCCCGACCACAAATACCGTATCGCAGCGCAGGACACCACATCACCGTCTTTCTCGTCTGTCTGACCTCTGCAACCGCACCGACAAGAGCCATTATTCAGCACATTACTGGAAAAGGACAGAGCTCTTGGCACTACCAGAGCTAGCGGTTCATCAGCACTTCTCCTCCCCGCAGTATCCCTTTTGCAGAAGTCCAAGAGTCCCCTGCCCCTAGTCATTTCCAGCTGGCAGTTTGAATGGCAGCCAGAGAGAAAAGTTAGTTTCCCAATGCTGTAAACTAAATGCCAGGTCAGCTGGGACAGATTTCACACATGGAAAGGGAAGGGCGAGAGTTATTTCAAAATCCTAATTACATTCTCACATTTCTGTATCAAGCAGAAAGTTTAGCAAGAGAGACACCCTCAGCACTGTTACCCGATTACCTTACAAAAAACCCAAACCAACCAAAAAACCCACAAAACCCCCCAGCTCTCAGCCATTAACACCAGAAGTACCATCCCACTCGACCGCAGCACAAGCAGACCTTGCTCCGTACCCACCAGCTCAGTGCAATCAGGGACGTGCCTGGCGTGGGGCCAGCACAGCCTCCCCAAGCAGCTGCCCCATGTCTCGTACCCCCAAGGGTGAGCAGTCCCTCCAGCTCAGCAGATGCCCCGTGACTTCTCGTTAACGAGCTGTGTCACCCTTGCGGGACAAGCCGTGGCATTCCACACTCCTTACACAGCCCAAACCATCCTGACTGTGCTCTCAAGCCTTTGTTTTTTGATTTGAGGAGCAGATCCGAGGGAGAGAGGACTACAGCCCTAACGCTGATGTTAAGGAGGTCACCACCCAAACAAGAATTCCTAGAGAAGAGGCACTGGCAGGTCTCAGCTTGGCAGCTCCAAGAGAGGCAGATGTAGCACAGCATCCTCCCTCCCAAAGCGGCAGGAAGATGCTCTGGGAAACACAGCAAGAAAGAGGGTACATACATAGCAACCCTTCCGCTGCTATTCCCCCACAGCTTCTGGCAGGCAAGACGGTCCTCCATGACTCGTTCAAAAGGTTCTTGATGGAGAAACAATCCTTGACCAACCATTAACAGGCCCAACGTGACCAACCGTAACAGGTCAGTCCTCCCCACACAGAGGTGTGTACACACCTCCTCAGGAGGTCCACCACCTTTTGAGCACTATAGCGGCTTCATCAAGGGACAGTCACTACAGTCCCAGCATTAAGACTCAACCAGGGTTCCATGCAAGAACTGGGAAACATTTAATAATCCTTGGAAGGAGCGAGTCCCACTAGGATCTCAACGGGACTCTAGAGTGCCCAAACCCCAAAGGCATTAACCTACAATCCTGCGTGGAGCTGGGCCTACAGGTCAGGTGCTCTCTCTTACCTGTTCTCCAGCAGCGTCATGCACACGACCTCCCGCACGCCTGGGTTGTTGGCTTTCTCGATGGAGCAGCTTTGCAGGTTCCAGGTAGCCACCCTGAGGACAGGTCTGCCGTCTCTCACCCCCCCGAACATCTCCACAGAGGGGCGAGTGGATATGATCTGGGTCGGACCCCCAGGAGGAAAGTCCAAGTCCTCGCTCTGGAGGCTCAGAGAAGTGGGGCTGGGGTGAGGCTTGGCTGTGAAATTGAGGCCACCGTTAGTGTTGGTCGAAGGGGGCCGGGACCGCTCTGCAAAAATCTGATGCCTGATTTTGTCCAGAAAGGAGGAATTGATACAGTCCATCCTCACCAGGTCCTCGATACTTTTGAAGGGTCCGTGCTCTTTACGGTAGTCCACGATGCTGTTGGCAATCTTCTCGGTGATGCCACGGATGCTCATGAGCTGGGCCGGGGTAGCCGTGTTAATGTTGATCTTGGTGGCAGAGAGGTGATGCTCAGAGGCCGGGTCCTTGCGCAGGGAGCTGGGCGAGTGCTGGGCCGAGCTCCCCTTGCTGCTCACGCAGATCTCAAACTTCACCTGCTCCAGCTTGGCTGCCCCCACCCCGCTCACCAGCGCCAAGTCCTCCACTTTCTTGAAGCCACCGATGTACTCCCGGTACTCCACGATGTTCTGGGCCACCACCCGGGTGACCCCGGGGAGGGTCATCAGCTCCTCCTCGGTAGCCGTGTTGATGTTGAGCCTCTCCTGGTTGACGAGGATGTTGCTGAAGTTGCAAGCTGCGCTGAACTTGCGGCTGTGGCACAGGTCCGCCGGGT